CATTACTGTGCCAGAGTTCCGTAATAAACAACAAGTCTTTGAGGCATATCCAGCCGACGAGTCCCGAATATTACGAAATATGGGTCCTGGATTCCACCGTTAGACGTTACCAATCTCTGCTTAAAACTTTTATTGATTGTATGTGACTGTATTATTAGGACGCAATGGCAGACATATTGGTGACGTAGGCACCATTGATTCACTGGTTGTAGTGTATTTTCGATTGAGTTAATTCCTTCAAACAAACAACACAGTAAATTACTGGTAAAGCAAGTTTTCGTTTGTAATGCAATTGACAACTTTTATTCCATCTTTGCTATTGTTATTTCTCTTAATCATGCTAGCAATTCCCCTAGGTGGACCCACCATATCCACCAACCCGGTTTAGGCGCCAGACACTGTTTCCGTCCTTTCAATTTCGTAAACATCCCCATCACGAAAGTGCATTGAGTAGGACTTCGCAAGCAGTGGCCATGTGACAGCATTTCCAGAGGGAGAGCTGACTCTTCCTACCATCTGCCGTACCACGGCATTTGGGGGCGCCAGGACGCATGCCGAACTCTCGTCGGAATGGTTATTCACTTTTATCTTACTGTATGATGGAAATTACTTCAGAGATGCTTTGTATGAGTTTTTCAGAATTGTTCAAAGCTGTGAAGTTCAGTTATTGTCTTAGGATACGCAGATAACAAGGGTCCACTTGGTGTGGAAGCTGACGAAATACGGGACCATCCGGGCAGTTATTCAAGTATGTTTGCATTTCTCTCCCAATAAATGCAAAATGCTGCCTCACGACTGATCTGCATCAATGTCTTAACTAATGAAACGTGGTTAAGTAATAAGGCGCGTCAACCGCTTCACTTATCCGAGAAGTCTAATCGGGCTAGGTGTTCAGTGACATGAATTTACTGACTGTTGAACTGAGTCATGTGGGTAGGTTTAGTTTACCTAGTTGAGGTCCACGAGACTAGTGTGATGTGGCTTAAAGTCGCAATGTCGCACACGCATTCAATCTGTATACTCCCTCAGTTTTAAAAGTCTGATACTTTTATCCCGAGAATACATTCATTCTCCTCGATTCATATTATCTATGCCTAAAATGTTCTACTACCACTCTTGTCATTGATTATACTTTTCTGTCATCTCCATGTCCTAATATGGTAGGCTAATTTGAACCAATCCACATATGTACCAGATTTTACGTTGCGTGTCGCTGACTTGAATTTTATTTCAAGTCTCCAGATTTTTCCGGCGAACATGAATAACAATGAAGAGACCAGGGAACACTGAACAAATAACTCTACAAATCCTTAAGAACATAATAATACAATTAGTATATTGCACCCTTAACACATTGTCACAGAAAGGCAAAATAACTAAGTGCTAACTTCAACACACAATACTTTTTTGTCACTGATAAATTAATAAATGACAAGAATAAAAAATAATGACAATAATCAGCGAACTGGTATGCTTGATCAAATTCCTGAGTGGACACTTTCTTGCATATATAGATAGGGATCTCCTCGTAAAGGGAAAAAATAAGTAGCCGCTTGAGCATATCATCGAAGATAAGTAGGATATACTCGTCAAACTGATATAAGGAAAACAAACACGTAAGTGGATAAAATTCTTAAACTTTAGTGATTTACCTGGACAGAAATCAACATTGAAGTGAACAATAGTAATTATTGAAATACCGGAGTAAGAAGAGATAGAATAAGAAAGAAATTGATCAGATTTAAGTGGACAGAAAGAATAGTTATAATCGAGAGAATATTTGAAGCTATAAATGAATCTCTGGAGATGCCTTAACGGATACACATATTGTGTTTACAATTAATGACAATTAGACTATTACAGTCTGACGAGGTAGATGAACACATTACATGTTGATTAGAAAGGATAAACAAATTGAAATGACATTCCTGAATTTTACGCGTTAATAAACGCTTCTTCATTATTATCTTTTTAGCACGATAGTAATAATGATTATTGAATAAAAGCATTAGGAAGTACATGTCAATCGTAAATGGGCGAATTAAGTTTAAAATCAACAAAGTACCATTTAATATAAAACGTAATCTATCGCCTTGCCAATATGTATGAGTACTTATAAATATCATCGGAAAAAGTGTGGGTGAACAAATAAAGCATCAATGAAAAGTGTAGAAGGAAAGTAAAAACATAAAAAAACACCTGGGTTAACGCACATGAGAGAACGGGTACTGGAAAAACGAAGTAGAAAGAGCAGAAGAATGGATGGTAAGAAAAATTGATGTGTGATAACAACGGAAAATGCCGGATTTGTTGATTTTATGTAAAAAAAGATTACTGTTACCTTTCATTTTATTAGGCTGTTTTTGGATTAACCAACATAAACAATAGCAGCACTAATACAACGAATGTACAACATTTAGTGATGATGTGAATAATCCAAAAAAGGAAATGTCAAAAGCATTAGTACAAACAAGAAATTACTTAGAAAAGATGAATTAAAAATACAAAAATTATAAACATAAAGTGATCAAAGAATCAAAGAAAAACGAGCTTTTCCAGGTTAATCCATTGACTTCCATTTTAAAATTATGGCTTGTTATCAATGCAACCCACTATATTATTATTGTTGCTTTCTAAATTATCATCCATGTAATCTTAAATGTGTAAATGCCAGGGAATCGAAATCTCTACATATGTATATATAAGAGTTAGCGTGAAGGAAAATAGAATCAAGAAGTGTATTACAACAAAATACCATATAGCTGTTATAATAAGAAATCAATTCACCGATAATATGCGCATACACAGATGCATAATAATAAACAGATGATATATATATATATATATATATATATATATATATATATATATATATATATATATATATATATATATATATATATATATATAATAACTTGTCAACCGGTGACGGAAAATGTTAAATAAGGACTGTTTTTTTAATAAACGGAATACACCCATTATGACATTAAATAAGAAAGAAGGATTAGTTCAGCGAAGAGTTCTCTTTTCGGCGAATTCATTTTCAAAGCTGTACAATCGCAAATATATATACTTATTTTTACAGGGTGATAATAATACTGATAATAAACTTATGATATACATGGTGGAGCTATGTATATAGGTCGTTCGATGCGTACTTTATCCAAAAGAATTCAAGAACATTGTCCGGCGCGGCTAAGAAAAGGAGGCAGCGGCTCAATAAGAAGTTCTATAATCGAACACCTTGTGAACACAGGTCACTCAATCAAGACAGACTCTGCGTTCAGTCATCTACAAGGTAAGTAGAAGCCTTCCTATGACAGTTAGACTACATCTTCTTTGCATTGCCGAGGCAATAGCCATACATTTTGAAAAACCAGAATTATGTGTACAAAAGAGACTGGTACAACCTCTTCTTTTACCATGGTCTTAATGTATTAAAATTTTTTCTCTTTCTCATTACTCTTGTTCTTTTACAGACACCTGCTTCACCTTCCATCTTCCCTTCAAATCTTGTACCCCCAACCGGTTTGTTTTTATTTCAACGATCATTCTGATTACATTTCATCTCTGTTTCAACATTTTATGTTATTTTATCATGCTGAGCTACTCTTACCCGATGAATATCTAAGCCATTAACTATCAAACTTTCTTTGTTTTTCAAAATTTTTTCTAATACCTTTGTTTATTTAACCTCACTGTCACCATGTATATCATAAGTTTATTATCAGTATTATTATCACCCTGTAAAAATAAGTATATATATTTGCGATTGTACAGCTTTGAAAATGAATTCGCCGAAAAGAGAACTTTTCGCTGAACTAATCCTTCTTTCTTAATTAAGGACTGTCTCTTGTTTAGTAGTCAGCCTATAATAATAAGCTTGGTGATCACATACATTACACACGTACTTTAATAAGCATTAATGTAAAAATATAATAGGAGAAAGCTTTGCAAGAAAATAAATAAAAACGAGAGAATAAACGTCATATCCACACAGGTCGGTGAAATAATTAACAAAAATTAAAAACAGAGTAGTTATTCGATTTTTTTGAAGCGTATTGATAAATAGATAAACAATGGTGGCAATAATCAAGAAAATCCAATAAGAAACAAACAAATAAATAAACGAAAAAACAGCATAAAAACAATACCCAAAGCAAAACAAAGGGGCTAAAAAAATATTACCTGACTTGACAAGAGAGAATATGGAAAAAACCCGGATTGGGATAAAGGTAGTAAGTAATATGAATGGCCCTGCCTTACGTTACACAAGCACAAAACAAACCAAAGTCTGTATAAATACCTGAATAGTGAATAACCGGTTCATATTATTCAAACTGTTTAAGTATTTGCTTTCATACAAAAAGTCACACACAAGCAGCAAAATAGCTTGAACCGAGTTATCCAGTAGAATAAGGATGATAGGCGCTATTATTTATATATATATATATATATATATATATATATATATATATATATATATATATATATATATATATATATATATATATATATATATATACCTGAATGGTTACCAGTTAGGCAAGAGAAAGCACATGCAACAAGTTATTCTGTTTACATGTACTAACTTGGAAAGACAACTGGTTATGAACTGGCAAATTAAGTCGACATACGGTTTCAATTATGATATTAGTAACGGAGATGGAGCTCAGAGCCGAACACTACAAAAACAGAAATACAGAAGGTTGTATCATCCTTGGTAAAAAAAGACGACCAGTGAGTTAATAAAATAAGAATGTTCTGAATAAGTTATCTTAAGGTAATACAATAAGAAAGAACGGGATTAATAAAAATCCATAACATATAAATTTCGAGGTTCATTCAAGCTGCCTTCAAATTTCGTTGGAAAATATAAATATGTATATAACATCAAGTAACAACTATTCAGTATGAATTTTAAGTAATCAAATAGATGAAATGTTCTTCTTAGAAATATGCCTGAACAAATTAAATTAATCCACTAATTCGTATGCGCATCAAAAACTAGAAGTTATTGGGTTACTACTATTTGACGTTGTAGCAGTACTTCCTACAATTCGATCAGCTAGTTCTAGACTTAATTCTAATTCCAGTGGTTCACAATCATCATCGTAAGATGAATAAGGTTCAACATAATGTCGTAAATCCCTGTATGTACGATCAGTGGATCGAGACTGTACTGGATTTGAAGTAAAAGCTGATGATGGTGACGATGATTGCTGTGTTGCATAATTTGTTACAGAAGAACGATCAGCTCGTCCTAAATTACACAATTGCTCAGAAATCAGATTTCCACTTTGGCTAACTTGTTTCGTTTGAGTTTGTTGTTGCAGGAACGATGATTCAATATTATGATCAGGCATACCGAATAGCGTCGTTTGAGGAAAATACATAAGATCAGGTGGTGTTACTGGACCTAATGATCTACTCGTATTCTCAATACCACCATGCCCTGAACAGGATGTGGATAAAGATGTAATTGGATCTCCTCGTTGTAAGCTATGTGAATCACTTAACAAACGCATATCTAAACCAAGTGAATGACGCCAAGAACCGGAAGATGAACCAACAGAATTCGTTATGGATGGTGATAGAGATGTAGTTGAATTACCGGAACAATTTAAAAATGGAAGTTTTCCATCATTTGTTGTATGTATTAAATGTGAATTATCATAAAATGAAGATGTGAAATGATTTACTGGTGTTGATGATTGTAAAGTAGATGATTGAGATATAAAGTTCGTTGTATTATGAGGTATTGGATAGAATGAACTTGCAACTGATGAGTGCAAATTAGAACGATAAGCTTGCCAATGAGATTGAGCTGCTGCCGCTGCCGCCGCAGCAGTAGCTGTAGAAGAACCATGGTGATCTGTCAACAGAGGTACAGGTAATAAATGGTGAGCAGCAGCAACTGACGATGATACACGAGATGAATTAATATGATTAAACAGAGCACTTGGATGAAAAGATTGCTGTCTAATAATTTCTAATTGAGGTGTTGTATCCATTATATTAGAAAGATAATCTGTTTCCATTTGTTGTAATGAAGTACATAAGTTCGAATTATTCCCTGCAAAAGATGATTTACCTGAGTGACAGGGAAGAAATGAATTGCTTGGAAAATGATCCGATGATAAGCGATCAATAGTATGCATTGATGAAGACATACTATTTGCTCCAACATTTTGGTCATTACGCAACAGTTGTTCAATTAATCCACTTGTTCGACTATCATAGAAATTACAGAATAATTATTTAAATTAAATAACAGTGTATCTGAGACTAGAAAAAGTAAGTATTAATATTTTTTGATAAAAAACAAATATTTCACAGTCCAGATTGAAAATAAAAATATGTACACGATGCTCCACTGCCTTATGGGTCAGACCTTCAGGTCGAAGGCTCGGGGAGTGGCCCCCCAAGAAAAACACCTGCTTCGGTCTGGGCACCCGGGCAGTATCACAGCCCTCACACATATCGAATGAGATTTATGTGTCGCATATGTATTTGGTGCCTCTTTGTACCAATATCTATATGTTGAAATAAATAAATGTGCACAAATAAATTTTGTCTTATGTCATTTTAACGAGAGGTGAAAAATAAACCCACTAATTTCTAGAGACGATAATCGACATGGAATACAAATTTTCCAACAAACAAATGCCGACACATCTATAAGTCAGATAAGTTTAACGATTATATATATAGGCAAACTTGTTAAAGCACATATACTTGGTTGATAAGAATAACTCTGAATATAGTAGTTAGATAAGTTTAGCAATGAACAATACCACAGGCCAAAAAATTATGAAAAGTCACTGCGAAAACGACTCCAAAAGCTCATTTAACAAGTGCACTCGGTTATGAGCAAAACAGATTTTGGTATAGCTAATGATAGGACCTAGCTGCTTAAGTCGAAGCAGATGGGGTGCGGTTCAGCACTGAAACTGCATGACTGAAAGTTAATTTACAACAGTGCTGATTTTCATGCAACTGAATAACGAGGTAGAATTACAGGTATATGGTTTTAATTAACATATTTGTGTGAAGGTTGACGATATTACCAAAGTAGAAACAAGACTCGGACTTTATTGATATTTCAACTACTCAGGAAAATAACACTGTTGATCATTTAGATAACCTAATTTCAAAACCATAAAGCTTTGAATATTTCCTCAACCAGTTACAACTTATACACGTTGTAAGTCATACAAAATAAGCCTGTGGATTTCGGGCTTTATAGTCACATCAACTATTCTGATATAAACTATGAATGAAATTTGAAACATTTATAAATAAACAATAACGCTTTGCAATTTCATTAAAATCTATGCAGTAAATTGAAGTAGACTACTGACGACTTACGGAACAGCAGAAAACAATACCACATAATCACTACGACAAAAACAGGTAGAAAAGGTAATTTCTTAAGTCAATCAACATAACCCAGACCATAACGGTTACAAAGTGTAAAACCCTATTAAACTGAAATCCTTCAGTTACCTATTTATCAAATGACAGACAATTAAAAATTTTTAATTTTTTATCTAATATTTTGTGTACAACTACTCTGATAATTTAAATAGAGCAAGAACAAACATACAGAATAGTATGAATTCATGTTATTTCGAGGTTTCTCGTCAGCTGCTTACATACCGAAATTGTGATAGAATTTTTACATGGAGATAGTGTGAAATAATTGACATAAATGGGTAAATTCTATATCTTTGTGTACTTCATTGAACAGACTAAGTAGGTACATGGAGTGTTGGTGATTTTTGCAGACAAGGAACGTGTCATCCATATATCTGCAGTAGAGTGTGGTACTGTCGATTGTGTGCTTCAGTTTCTTTTGTTCCAGATGTCCCATAAATATGTCGGCAAGAATTGGGCCTAGAGGGCTGCCCATTGCTATTCCATCAATCTGTCGGTACAGAACATTGTTAAATTTAAATTGTATGTTTTTTGTACACAAAAACAGGAGCTGTTTAAATTCCTGAGGTGGTAAAGGCAGGAGTTCTGGATATTCACATATGATCTCTGCCGTTTCTTCCAAATCCCAAATTGAATGCACTAAGGATCTTATCTCTAAACTTAAAATAGAATCCCTTGGTTATGACAAAATCGTTATGGATTTAAATATTGTATGTCGTATTAAACTTATTAACTTCATTCGTGATGTTCAGTCGAAAACCAGTCACAAATTCATGAAGACATTAACCAAAACACTTGTTAAAGAACAAAACCACGTGGCATTTCCTACCAATCCACGAAAATACATACAGAACTTATCTAATAAAAAACTAAATCGAATTGAATCTGAAGCATTCTGCCTTGGATTCAAATTTCATATCCCAAGAAAATGCAACAGAATAGACACTGAGACCCAGTTTGAATACTTATATCAACAACTGTCAGACTTTAAACCCATGAACGACGAAAAGCATAGTTGGTTTAAATCTAAATTAGTGGATATCACAAACCAGTATGTTACGGCACCAATCCCACACTCAAGGGTGTTCACCGAAGACCACCATCAAGCATTGGAAAAACTTATAAAAGACGAAACAATAATGCTACTTCGTCCGGATAAGGGTTCCAGTGTAGTCATTCTTGACAGAGATGAATATATCAATAAGGTAATTATCATTGACAATACCCAGAAAGACTTAACAGATGCGACAAAGAAACGTGTCTTAAGAAAGTTGAGAGGACTTGTTAAGAAAAATCTAATAGATAATCATACGTATAACGAACTTAAACCAAAAGGGTCACAATTGCCATACTTATATGGGCTACCCAAAACACATAAACCCGACGTCCCTATAAGACCAATATTATCGATGGCCAAATCACCTTTCCATAAACTTGCCCTCTGGCTTACTAGATGCTTGGAACCAATCCGCAAAAAACTAGCAGCCTACAGTTTGAAAGACAGCTTTGAATTTGTACAAAAACTTGATAACCTTAATGTCTCTGACAAATTCATGGTTTCATTTGATGTCTCTTCGCTTTTCACAAATATCCCCTTGGAAGAAACGGCAGAGATCATATGTGAATATCCAGAACTCCTGCCTTTACCACCTCAGGAATTTAAACAGCTCCTGTTTTTGTGTACAAAAAACATACAATTTAAATTTAACAATGTTCTGTACCGACAGATTGATGGAATAGCAATGGGCAGCCCTCTAGGCCCAATTCTTGCCGACATATTTATGGGACATCTGGAACAAAAGAAACTGAAGCACACAATCGACAGTACCACACTCTACTGCAGATATATGGATGACACGTTCCTTGTCTGCAAAAATCACCAACACTCCATGTACCTACTTAGTCTGTTCAATGAAGTACACAAAGATATAGAATTTACCATGGAACATGAAGTTGATGATAAATTCCATTTCCTAGATATTGGAATTAGGCGAACATCAGACGACACACTACAAAGACACATCCACCGCAAAAAAATACTTGGAGCGGAGTTTATCTCAACTTTAACAGCTTCTCTCCAATGAGTTATAAAAAGGGTATTGTGCGAAACCTTTATGACCGCGCACGAAAAATCTGCTCAAAAGAATGTCTCGAAGAAGAAATTACTACAATCACCAAATGCCTACGTGAAAATGCATATCCGGATAAATTCATCCACAAATATGCTAATACAAACCCTCCGATTAAGCATGATACAGTTGAAAAGAAAACCTGCTTCCTATCCTTACGCTTCAAAGGAGATGAAGTCGCCGGAATTATCAATCACAGAATTAATTCCGCTTTAAAAGTGACCTACCCGGCAGCCAAACTGACTACGTTATGGAAAACATACTGCTCACTGAAACAAACGAAAATCGACAAGTCCTCTCCCCTCAGTTGCTCCAACTGCATTTACCAATTCACATGTACGTGCCGTAGCACATACATTGGAAGAACTGAGAGAAGAGTACAAGTTCGCATTTCTGAGCATATTCCGAAGATTTTGACGCTGCGAGGGACTAAAGCTTTTAACAGTGCAATAGCTCGGCATCTACTTGACACCGGGCATACCGTCGATATTATGCGCGCGTTTAAAATTATCAATAGACAAAGAACTACTACCACTCTCCGCTTTGCTGAAGCCATTGCAATTAAGAAACTGAAACCGGACTTATGCATCCAAAAAGAGACTTTAATAAACTTATCACTACCCTGGTAATCTTTTTGTTTCTGTTTGTTTTGTGTTTTGGTTATTTTATTCATTTACTGATTCTAAGATAATTTATACTCCCCCCTATTACCTAATTCTTAAAATAAATTTTATTCACACATTTCCGTCACCTGATCATCTTAAATCATCTTAACTTTCCAAACCCTATTTAATTATTATTACGTAATCTACCTTATCATTATTTAATTCCATTAATCTCTACAATTATCACACAATTTATGAACTTCACTAAATTATTGCACCCCCAACCTTAATTAACCCCCCTCTTTTGACCTCTGACCTGTTTCTAGCATATATATATATAGTTATTATTGTAATCAAGTTATTTACACTCATTTATGTCAATTGCTTCACACTATCTCCAAGTAAAAATTCTATCACAATTTTGGTATGGAAGCAGCTGACGAGAAACCTCGAAATAATATGAATTCATACTATTCTGCATCAATGTTTGTTCTTGCTCTATTTAAATTCATAAAGGGAACCAATTGCATGAGACTCTGATAATTCATTGTTTTCCTTTTTAATAGCAGCTAAAATCGAGGTTTGCATCGAAAGTGCTTATAAGTCCCATATTTTGTATCAAAAAGCATTATCTAAAAGATGTAAGAGCAAGGAGAACGCTGTTAAAGAGTCTAGTAAAGAAAAGGTTGTGACCCGATGAAGCCAAAATTAAAGAAACACTGAACAACAGAGGGAACAGCATTACAAAGGTTCAATACAGCCATCCTTCGAGACACTGACAAACTCAACGAATTAAATATAGTTCTCAACAACAGATTACAAGCCATACATAATCTACTCAAAGAAGATGAATCCACTATGAAGAACTACTGCAATAAATCAGAGGAGTACTAACTTCAGTATGTCACGAGGTTCTAGGCCCAACAAGCACCATCAAAATGAGTGGATCTCGATCGAATTCGTGGACGGCGTTCAAGAAATGAAGAA